CAACAGAGTGAGAGACACACTGATGTGTGGAGAGATATATATATATATATATATATATATATATATATATATCCTACTACCCCTCAAGTAAAACAAACAAAAGGAAATGCATTATCACTGAAGAGGCATATTTGTGCATTATTCTGTGCATGTACCAAGCGTGTTTATGAGAATTAACTTCTTATGGCTCTCAAAATGTCCTTCCCAGTTTACATTAAAAAACAATACTGTAGTGTCACAAAATATGCCACCTAATTTGTCTGTTAGTCTACTTTTTCCTCACGAATGTATACCAACAACATACTTCACCAACAGCCATCTGAGTAGCTACATATCTGTGAGTGCATAGCTATGCACCTAAGCAAAATACTAATCTGCTAGTTCCGCGTTGCTTTTCTAATAAAAAGGTACATCTGATATGTTTTGCCCACGTGGGGGGTGCTGATAACGACAATAATAACCGTGGACCAAGTAGTAATACGGCCTAGTAAAACTAACTACAGTTCCACTGTTGCCTATATTTTTTTATCATCTTAACAAGCTCCGCCTTCCCATCAAGAACAAATGGTTTAGTCTTAGTATGTGAGTTAGTTTTTAGTGCAGATTGTTTTATATTACCAGGTTGACCCTTCAGAAATTATGAAAGAAAATAAGTGGCTATAGATCTCGGAATGGCACGTCATTCTGCTCCGAATATTGACTTTTTGAACTACCTGCTTTTTTTTCGACCTAAACACATATTTACTTCCTGCATAAAAGTACACCTAAACAATACATCCTAAGCAACGTTTTCTGAGAGTAAGGTCAGAAGAAGACACTAATTTATTTTGAATCCTAGTTATACCCCATTAAAGCACTATGTATTTTATTTTCAGTTCTGGTACTGGTCGAACTGGTGTTTTTATAACACTGTGCAACGTCCTAGAACGTTTGAGACAAGAATCTGTGGTGGACATGTATCAAACGGTAAAGTTGTTACGTCAACAACGAGTTGGGATGGTTCAGACGGAAGAACAATATCGATTCTGTTACTTGGTTGCATTGGAATACTTGAGTTCCTTTGATCTGTGCACACAACCCAATTCAAGTATCCCACTACCTGCCATCGGTTCTCCATTCGTTCCCCACAAGTTACGTTGCACCACGAAGCAAGTTTATAATCACGCAAATGGCCAGCACCATAAGGGTTCCGATAAACCAGTTTTGAAGCCACTTTTTGATCTATATGATGACTCTGAACCTACTGCACGCATTTTTTAAATAATTTACCTAGCACCAACCCCCATTCATCCTAATTCTTTTGTATCCAACCTCTTGTGCTTCGAGATGAAATAGTTCACTCGTATGAATCAGTATTTAATTGCTATACCTCGTCATTGTATCCTAGTAACTTTTCAAAAATTACAGACGAAGCAGATGTTTGTTGTCTTTTCCACCTGGTAATTTCACTATCGCAGTAAAAATGGAAAAGTTCAAAATCACTGTCGGGATCACTGTATGACGTGAGTGCTAGTGTCATCCTGAGAGTAGGCTGCAATGAGGAGAGGTCCGTCAATCCAAGCGAACTGACCAATATAAAAATCTCCGTATCTTAACCGAGCAATCGGTGCTGGTGAAGAGGACAGTGTGGTTATGGCGGGGGGTTGGCCACGGATGCTCTCAATACCTGGTTTGCTGGGGATTTTTAATTTGCTCATTTGAGCGCTATTTAATTACGTTACAGCTATAAAGTTCAGCTTATTTGCAGCTTATTTGCAGTTGTCAGCGGTACAACTGGGATACAACACTGTTGTCCGACAGTTGTCTAAAACCTCTTAAGTTTATTACCTAAATAAGCTCATTACACAAATATGGTGCTCAGAAGTTTGCGCGCCAGTACCCAGCAGGTTGAATTCTACACTTGGTTTCAGAATCGCATGGAAGAATAGCGCGCGGTTGGATTATTGTGTTTGTTTTATAAAATTTGATGTCAATAATGACAAGTAAATCTGCAATTTTTCAGCTTACACCCAGGATATATGTTTGAATTGCACTGAGGTAGACCACTGTCCATCCGAATATAATAGGCTTGGATGCACGTCCTGTGTGATCCGTGTAAGTATGAGTGTTGTATCAGTTAATAAATGTGAGGAAACCGAAGTTTACCCCATTAAGCTTATGGTGACTTCATCCAAATGCCACAGAAACTGTGATAAAATGTGATATTTGACAGTTTTTCTCTCGAACAGAAATGAAAGCTTAAAAAATAATCGTAGTCATACAAGTCCACCGATATGACGCACATCATTGCGCGCTTCGTGCTACATTGTTCAATATGAATTGGGTAAACGGTGGACAAAAGGATGAGCATTCCTAATCAATAGGCTGTTTTGTTGGTTTCGCCTATGCGATGGGAGCGTTAAGGAATCGACACGATAATGACTAAATGTTATTCACAGCTCATGATTGCATAAATGCCAAGCCCATCAGAAATGTAGAATCCTAGTTATATGGACAACTTGTAATTATTTCTGAAAAACAAACGTGTCTTCTTAAGTTGGACTCCTCGTTTTCATGCATAAAAATCGGTGGCATATCCGCTAGTTAACTACTTTAGCTGTTCACTGTCGAGTCGCGTGAATACCGAATACTCTTCCCGGCTGTTAACACCGACCGAAATGATTTCTATCCGCGGTCGCGATGAGTTTACCATGGAATTCTACTGCTTGGGGACCAGTTCGCTACTGGCTTGTACTGTCAACCGAATTACAAGCAACTGATCACGAAGCACAAAAGTAGCGCAGTTCGTTCGCTTGCCACGGCACAGTTGAATGGATGCTGGGCATGACATACTAACACGCCTTTGAAATAGAGAACATGAAAATCTGCGTTTCCGTCTTTCAGTTTGGTTACCGAATCTAAATATACCGGAAAACCAAACAAACCGTTCGGATGGAGGAAAAGCGAATACAACTTCCACAAAACCTGCTTAGCCAGTCTTCTGGAAAAAAGAATGCTTATGACAAACGATCCAGTTGGCCTTAATTCCGGAACGGGTCCTCCTGAGCAAGCCATAGATGTAAGTATTGTTGTGCATAACACAAGTGGTACTAATAAGGGATAAGAACACAGAATTCAGCGAAATCATTTTATGATACATCCACAGAATAGACAACCTGTGGTCTTGATCTCTATTGCCATATATGAATACGCTAAGTTGAGTAAAAGTAGGATACCTGGGCTCAAGCAAGACAGCTAACCCAGAAACTTGCTTCTCAGTATGTAATTGCAGCTCTCCCCACTTCGACGTCTGAGTTTAGAAATGCCCTCATGATTGCATCAAGAGTAATTCATAAAGTTGTGCAACTCTAATAGCACACTGTTTGGCTGGACTGACGTACAGCAGCTCAGTCTCTGTAAATTAGCAAGTCTACAACCCCTGGGCTTTTTAAAAGCACGTGAAAAATCTTGACATACGGCAACCGGAACAATACGATGAGTGGACCCATATGATAGCCAACCCAAATTTTGCTGCACATGTTTTTTATTCAATTGTTTGTAAAATCCTTGAAGAGCGCTAGCAACAACAACCAAGATGTCGCGTTATGAAGCCGTTCTTCAATATGTTGTTCTTCAATTTGAAATCTCCATGAGGGATCACTGCGAAAAATGACGTTTCCTTCACTCGTTAGGTGTTGTTCTTCCGTAAAATAAATCCACCAGCTACTGCTACATGGTTTGACACCTGTCAATTTCATACCGAGTTGCTAAGCACCGGAGGTTCGTCATAAAATTCTGATGCAAGTGTATCCACACTGGTGGATGTCTGATTGAGTAGTAGAAGGCCCAAAACACATTGCTCTTGAAAAGGAATTAAAACGCTCGTGATAATGTAAGCCATCTTTAAAAAACGTGGCAGAATCTGTTTTCGGATAGCTGAAAAAATGCTGCGAAATAAGAAATTGTAACTCAAACTATTCCACATCTTCACGTCCAACTTTCCCAATCGAATGAAGCAGAAAGTGTTTCTGTTCAAGCAGTTTTCAGCTTATTAAGTTCTAAGCGATTATACTATCATTTGCAAACTAATTTGGTTTTTCGTGATACTCACCTGCAACCCAGCTGAATATATCGTTTGTGATGTTTCCAAGCAACTGAATGTGCTGCACCAGGCCGCTACGATATTCGAGATATCGCGATACATGTATATTTGTAATGCACTAGTCATAAGGTTGCTAAAAACTCGTCGACAGTCCGCGACCGGTTTCGCCCTTCTTGGGGCTCATCAGGTGAGCGCAGTTCCTGAGTTTCCGTCAACCTCATGTTCTACTTGAAACCAAATTGCATTAACTTAGCGAAATACACTCATTTGCAAGCAAATTTGGCTTTTTGTTCGTCTCTTAAGGGGAAGGTAGTGTAAATTTCTGACTGGTTGGACTCGTTCTGACTGCCATCTATTCCAACAGTTGTTTTACCTTTAAAGGAATACCTGTTTGACAATCGTAATAACAGTATTTTCCCAGCTGAACATTTCAAGCCAGCTTTCCGATCAAAATAACCACCAACACAACGAGCACAACGAGTATTACACCCAGAACCATCATGTATAGAGTACATGAAGTATAAAGTGCGGCGACGACAATTTCGGTGTCTTCTGGACGCGCCAATGTCAGCCGGCGTTCGGTGGATACTGGATCATACTTGGCTGTTGGGTTCACCCCTTCGGCCTATCCGAGCGCGCCTCAATACTGGATCGGCAAATGGCCCGATCTTATGGAAAATCATTGAGGGATAGTCTTCTTGACTGTAGCAGCACCTAACTGCTAGCGGTAAAGCGGTATCCGTGCGGAATCCATCCTAACAGCGAGTGAGCTATATGAATCGGTAGGCGAATAGTTGACGAATGAATCAAAGATACAATGGAAACACAGTGTGGCTATATGAATTAAATAAACTTACAGCTTATTGTTCTGTATGTTGAGGGATTTAACTTCTAAGTGAATAAATCCACACGTGGAAAACATGACATGAACTGTGTCGAACAGAGCTCGTTTGTCATGCGTAGTCCTCCTGGATTTTATGTCACCAATAAAGTTGTGTGAAAATAAGGGGCACATACTTTCAGACGGAAGGTACATGGGTCAATCGATCCTGAACTAAAGTGAGTGACGTGAGTATCGGGAAAATTTGTGGAAGCAAATTTGTCGCGGACGCATTCGACTCGAGAGGTCTAGCAATTTTCCTCTGGACGCAGAAATGTGCGTCATCCTGCTGGATTCGAGTCACATCCGTAGTCGATGGTGTTCTGCATTGGACCGGTTCCGATCGGTTCAGTGGTACTCAGTATATTACATAGTAGCGTAAAAGGTGTTTCGAATCCAAACCTCATAAAAATTATAAATGATAATGAATAATATTGAATAATGATGATGACAATAATAATGAGTAATGAAAAATGATAATGATGGATGATCTCACAAAATGGTTCAAGAAAGAAACTAAACAGGAAGCTATGCCTTATCCACTAATAAGTGTTTGAAATTCAGTTTCTCATGCGTTTTTCCCACTCAGCATGTTAAAATAAAAATCAGGTCCTTTTTAACTTGATTGAATTAAACCACAAAACGTGCTTACTACAAAGGCATTTCAGAGGTTGTCCACCAAATCGGACACTTCAAGCACCAGGATAACTGCCTGTTTCTTCTCGATGTCGAGCAAGTTTGAAACGAGCCGTAATTGTAGTTGTTCTCCGAAGCGCTGCATTTTTTATGCTGCAGTGCTACTCTCAAATGCCCACACCCAAAAGGCATCTTTTAGCGGTTTGCATATTCCTCTCATGGGAAAGATACAAAAACAAACCGAAAATAAACCACCGAACAGGCCACCAAGAAGCTGTTTTGTTAACGATAAATATGTGGAGTGGAAAAATGCATAACAATTTGCGCATAACTTCAGAAACAATTTTCCGTGTTTTGGCATGATTTTAAACCCTTAGTGGACCTCACCTTTTGTTGCTATGACAACAATCTTAGAAAATCGTGGTCAGTAATTCATTAGCCTATATTGACAAAACAGAGTGGTAAGTAAGTAGGCAATCACAAAGCATTCGTACGAAAGATTCTGTTAGGATTTTCTTGGGAATTTTATTCGACTTAATGGAGCTTTACCCTGCGAATGATAGACTAAACACCTTGGGTGTTTGTGGAGGCTGAGGCAGAAGAGATCGTCACTTAATACAATCATCATGTGTTCTAGGTAGCCAAAAGTACAAATCAACGTTTATGATGCACCCAAAACA